GTTTGACTGTGCAGGACTACATTGCACAGTTTACGGATTCGAAACCGGAGCTGACATCACGAAAAGCTGAAGTGTTGCCACTACACTGTGCCGCTTCACTTCGCTCAGCCCTGCTGCGCCTCCGCCCCTTGTTGCTGTCCCCTTCCTCTTCGTTGTTCTCCCCTCCACGTTGCTGCTGTCCCCTTCCCTTTGCCGCCGTCCCCTTCACTGTCCCCTTCTTCAACTTTCCCGCACAAACGCAATCAACCAATCAGTGCGCTGGGGCCGTCAAAGTGCAAGAGTGCCGAACAAGTAAGCAAGCATTAAATGTAATGAATGTTAAAGCGAAGTTTAAAATTGAGTAGAAAAAATAGTATAAAGCAAAAAAAAATATTCATTTCAAATTGCAAAGAAACTTTCAAATTATTAATTTTGTAAGACGACACTCAGAGAACAAACACGTCTCTGTCACAGATTTGTTGAGATAACTTTTCAAAAAAGGCAGTAAAAAGTTTGAACTTTAATTAGAAGAGATGTGCCGCAAATGCCTTGAGAATTTACAATTGTTAAAAACGTTCTGCAAAGAGGGCTAAGATTACTGTAACAAATTTTTAAAGGAAACACCGTTACACAAGGCATGCGCAAATGGTCACCTCAATCTCGTAACGTTCTTAGCAGAAATCAAATCTGACCTCAACGCAACAGATGTAAAAAAGGTAGTATTTCCTTTATCAAAACTGCAAAATTTTTGAATCTCCTACAGCTACGAAATAAAAATTCTCTTTTGCGTCTAACGACTTCTGAGAGTCCTCTTCAAAGAATGAACGCAGAGCTCCTTATTCAACCGTTTAAAAACATCTCTTTAAAGAACTTAACGTTCTGCTAAAGCTTTTAGAAAACAGAATGTAAAAGTATAATTACAAGTTCAATGTTTATTAGAATTTTAAAGCAGCAGTTTAAAAAGGTTTGTAAAAATTAAGTGCCGAAACTAGTTTAGCTAAATTTTTAAAAAACTTCATTGCACAAATCATGTGCAAATGGTTACCTTAGTGTGGTGAAGTGCTTATTAGAAAAAAAAATTGATGTCGTTGCAAAAGATGCGAAGCAGGTAACGTTATTCTGGAAGTATTTTTAAATCCTACCTATTCACCTTTGCCTACAGGACTAATTTTCGTTTCGTTCTAAAGTTTTCTCAAGCCAGTTTTTGAAGAAGGAGCGTCTAGTTATTTGAATCAACCAATTGAAGCAGCGTTTCTGAAAACCTCATATTTCTCAAAAACTATCAAAAACGTGGGCAAAAATCTTCAATCTATGTTTACTTTCAAAAAGCTCCTTGAAAGTCAAGTCAAAAAAACCAAAAACGTAACCAGTGAACAAGTACAACTACAGAAAAAAAGAGAAAAAAGTGAATTTTACATTAGAAGACGAACTTGAGATTGCTTGTGATTGGAAAAAGACATATGAAACAAACATGCTTTGATAATACTTTGATGAAAAAGATTCCTCAAAAAAAAACGTAAAAGGTCTCAATCTTGACTTCAAGAAGCACGACAAATATTCTTTAAAAACCTAAAAATATGTCGAGATGCTTGATGTTTGTAAAAACCTCAAAATACTTATATTAAAAAGCTTCTTAAAAATTAGGCGCCGAAATTAGATTAGCTGATTTTTTTAGGAAACTCCATTGCACAAAGCATGTGCAAATGGTCACCTTGACGTGGTGAATTATTTATTAGAAGAAGAAATTAGTGTCGATGTGAAAGATGCGAAGCAGGTAATGTTATTTGGGCAGTATTTTTGAACTCTACCTGTTTACCTCTGTCTACAGCACAAATTTTTGTATCATTCTAAAGTGCCCTAAGACCACTCTTTGAAGAAAAATCGCATATTTGCAACACATCAGTAACGATAA